TGCCTGAAAGGCCGCGTTGTCCGATCCTCCGCCATCTTTGCGCCTCGTTTCCTACTCGCGCGTTCTTACTCAATGGCGGCACTCGTTTAATTCTTTACGCTCGAGAGGTGACTCTCAGTCACCACTTGATTTCAAAATATCAAATTCCACAGTTTTCAAGTCGATGGAAGTCCCGTGAAATTTGTTTCTTTGAATTTTTAGATGGAATTTTGTGTTTCGAGCAATGAGTGTCCATATCTTGGAAAAATAGTAAAAAATATCTGATATATTCAATATACTATATATAGCAGTGGCATATTCATAGATCACCTAACGTAATTGTTTATAATATTGTTTTTATTCAATGTTAGTGCACATAAATAGAGTTTTCTTTATTCTGGAAACATTTCAAGTATCAAATTTAACACTAAACTACCAGAGATTTTATCTCCCTTTTCACAGTTATTAAATAAACAGATGTATCTTTGGAAAACGATAAAAAAAAATGATTCAACTATACGAAACTGAACTACAAGTTAATCAAAGTCTCAGTAGAATTCTTCGAGAGGAATTTTCACAACTATTAAATAAACAGACGATAAAGAAATCGATTCAACAGTACAAAACAGAAGAAACCAAAGTCTCAATAGAATTCTTCAAGAGGAATTTCAAAAAGTCTCAAGTATTTCCTTGACCTAACCAAGACATTCGAAGTTAATTTGACCTTTTCCTAGTGGATGGCCGGTGCGAATACCACCGAGGTTTTATGGTAATTGTAAGCTAGAAATGAAGCTTTGAGTTACTTTGAGTCTGAGTTTATAGCGATCGACCGTCGGACGTGAGACGGAGGATAGGGTTTCAGCTGTTAGCACGTTGCTACTATTACGCGTAGATGAGCAGCGAAATCTGAAAATAAATGGATGGGACGTGGAGGTTGTGTTTTGTGGACAGGTCTGTCGCCAGATTTAACTCTGTTGGATTTCTTTGTGTGCGTTCCGATAGAAGTAGAACCTACCGAGGGAATGTGAGAGCCAATTATTACGATTGATGTGTAGTTTCTATGAAAATTGTAAGTTATTTTCAAAAACCTCCGTTATTTTCACTTTTTTGAGAATTGAATGGTCGAATACAATACAGAGAAAATACAGAGATTTGGAATGTACGAAATCTTCAACAGATGAAACTAAATTATTAACTGCTTAATTAATAGACAAAGGAAACTCTTGTTTGACTAGTTAAACCACTTGACGATCAAATATGCGGTTCGTAGAATGGTGTGGTACTTAGAAAACATTTCCATATACTTGAAAATTCATTTACTTATCGATCATTTCGATATTTTCATCAATTTTGCGAATTCAGCCGTCAGATGGGAAACAGTGTGAATTACGCGTGGCCGTATTAATGGCGGACGCGCAGCGCGATGGAGCCTAAATCGCGCAGCGAATCGCAATGAACAATGGGTAACGATAGTTATCGAATAGTTATCGAATTCAAGTGTTCTAGATATCCTTCATCTCGAAGCTTTCCATATTTCGCGAAGTTTAATATTAAATAAACCTCGCAATTTTCCTGTGTCGAATCGATTGCCGACCGAGAGATTTCGAGGTTCGAAGGCTTAAGATTCACAAATTCGAAGCTTTGCAGGTAATTCCAAGCTACTAATTCGTAGATTGATCCTTTAGAATCAGGCTTTCGCTTGGACGTTGACTTTCTCGATAGCGTATCGAACGAACCGAATGTTTTTCGATATATGAGATGCAAAGGAAGATAGTGGAGCAATTATTAAGAATCTTCACTTCGTTTCGTGTGTCATGTCGACATTCCGGTGAGATGAAATTCTCATGATTCGAAGACTAAATTGCAAACGAACGATTGAATTACTCAAACACCAAGAGATCAGCACGTAGTTTCTTTTTCCATCTCTTAAGTAACTGATATATAATTTAGCTTCATCTGCTGAATATTTCGTATATTCCAAAGAATCTTCGTACGTGAAGGGTTAATGAGTGTACGTGGCAAACTGTTGAATTGAACTTTGTATTTATAGGAAATATTTCAATAGCTTTGATTTATCTGTTAATGATGGTCTCTACCTCGAACGTTAAATATTCCCAGTGACTCGCCTCGTTTTCCCTTCAAGTTTCAAATATTTCAAGTTTTTATACAGTGATTTTAGAGTCGATTTAACTGCCAAATTTTCTTAAACAATGGAAATATTTTGATATCAATATTTCCATCGATTTTGGAAATTCAGCCGTCAGATGGAAAACAGTGTGAATTCCAGCGGTTAACACGAAAACTCGGAATATTCGAAAGCTCCATCCACTTCCAGGCAAACCTACAAAAACACAAAACCCGAAACGAATATTGACTCGAGATTAAACGAAACGCCGCGCCCGATCGTCTCCGTCGTTATCTAATCGGCGTCAGACAATAAAGTGCCTAGAGACGGTCGGATTATTGACGCAAGCGTCTCCAATTTTTGCGCGAGCGAGCCTGCCCTCGGCTCTAATTTGTAAAACTCCGCTGTTCGTCCCTCCGCCCCCCGTTGAGTAATTGTCGCTATTAATAACTACAACCTCGATCCTCGAATTCAATATCTCCGGAGCGGAGACGCTCGATCGCGTATCTTTTTTCGTTTCTTCCGTTTAATCGCGTGTACTCGCGCCTGTTTGCTCCTCGCCGCTCCGGGAAATTTATACGGCGACAGTTTTATTAAAGACGGACCGATGTCCCCTATTCGTTACCGGGATCGGCCGGTTCCTATGAATTTTAATCAGTGTCTCGATACGTTCGGAACTTCGAGACTTCCGAACTTTGCGAACTTTTGATCGAGTAATTTACTGACTTCATGGTGCTGGGTGCGAGGTTTCATGGAAATGGATGTGTTGTTTGGTTCTGTGAGAAATTAGTGGGTTTTTGAGATCGGAAGCGCGGTTAAGTCGGTTTTTTGATAGTTTCTGAATTTTTGTCTGTTTTGATGGAGTTAATTGTGTTATTTTTAATTGTTCGAGGTTCTTTGATTTTTCTAGTGGATTAGCAACATATGAGAATGTTGTTATTTTTTATTGAAATTTGAGTCAATCGGAAGCTAGTGTAATTTGAGTCGATCGGAGAATAGCGCGGTTGAGTCGATTTTTTGTCTATTTTAAGGGAGTAAATTGTGTTATTTTTAGTTATTCGAGGATTTACTCGGTTCTTCGCTTTTTCTAGTGGATCAGGAACATATGAGAATGTTGTTATTTTTTATTGAAGTTTGAGTCGATGGAAAGCTAGTGTAATTTGAGTCATTTCTTGATACTAAGAGTCAAAGTAATTTGAGTCGGTTTTTGATACTTTCTGATTTTTTGTCTATTTTATAGACCTGTATGTATAATGATATTGTATAATCATTTCAGTCCAAATATTAATTTTCTTTATTTTCCTATTTTTTATTTAATCGGATTGGCCTCTGAGCGACTCGTTTCACGCTCGTTAGCAAAATTAGCACTGAAAATATGAAGAATCTCCTGTGATAGCTATTTGATGGTGAATATTACATCAATATTACACGAAATTCGTACGAAATCATAATACGAAACATATTACTATGAAAAATAGAAAATGTCGTTAGAATCAGGACGAAAATTACCGAAGCTGTCAGACACTCGAAATTTTCACTTAAAATTCTCTTCTCACTAACAATCCTTTCAATTAAATTCTCTATTCCCTATAGTGAACTTCATAATCATCATAAGAAAAGTCGACAAGTCAATTCTGAGTACACAATTAAACTTGGAAAAGAATTAACTGAAAATTTCAGGTGTCTTTCTGACTTTGCACTCGACAGGCGACTCAATCATTTGATCGAACGCAGTAAAATGATAAAATGAAAAATTCAATATAAAATATTAAATAAGATATTAACCCTTTGCACTCGAGAGGTGACGCATTACTTGATTTCAAACTATAAAATTTGATATTTAATATTATATTTCCCATAATGCATCATTCTGAGAAATATTCAAACAAAATACCTTTGTTAGTTTCACAAAATATCAATTTTATCTCATCAGAAAATATTCAAATCTCAAATATTTCTGAAAAACTTCGAGTGCAAAGGGTTAACACGTGAAACAGAAATAAAACAATTCTCCATAATGAATGCAAGATATCTTTTCACGTAAGATGCAGATAATATCTTTAAAATTTCACCAGAAAATGTTTCTAATGAAAAATATTGTCCAGTGCAAAGGGTTAACACGTGAAACAGAAATAAAACTATTCTCCATAATTAATGTAAGATATCTTTTCACGTAAGTTGCTGACAATATTCTTAAATAATGAGTTTCTAATGAAAAATATTGTCGAGTGCAAAGGGTTAACCCTCTGTGGACGAATGTCAATATCTTTCCACAATCAGAGTTCACATTAGCAACTCTAAGTCACGAACTATTGATTTAATTACTAGAACAGCAGATCAGTACGTAGTTTCACCCTTTGCACTCCATAAGTTTCTCATTAGAAGCACTCAAGATTTCTTAACGAAAACCAACGACATTCTTTCAAACTGACTTAACGAGAAATCGTACATAAATTAACACTAGGTTTACAGAACGCGTCAATTTGAAGATTGAATTTTATAAACATTATTAGGTAAATGTTTCAATCGGTTTTCGTTGATCCAATTACACGAATATGAATCCTGATTGATTATTTCTACATCTACAATTTCCAAAATCTAAATGAACGAATACTTCCCCAGAACAATAGAATAAACTGTACAATAAATGCCCGTAAACCTAGTGTTAAAGAAACAGGTTGTTTTATTTTAATACTTCGATGCGTTGTACAAAGTTTAATATTAAATGTCAAACTCTATTTCGCTGTGTCAAATCAATTAGCGACTGAGGTGCCTACAGAGTGCAAAGGGTTCGATATATAATTTATCATTTTCTATATTTCAAACGTTCGTCCGCAAAGGGATCGATCAAAGATCGAACAATCGCGTGATCCACGATTATACAATGGCTAATTACCTTGATACTGTCGTAGCAAGCAGTGACCCGTCCGTTCTGCACCTCGACATTAGCTGGCGGATGAGCGAACTTGCATTCTGTATCGGGCCTGGTGCACTTGTTGCGCTGGAACTCCCTGCAAACCTCTAGCTGCAGCCATCGGGAGTCCTTGCCATTCAGTAGGTTATTCATGTTGACCATTGCCATACTTCCAGTCCTGGAAGACCACGAGACTCTTCCTCAGCGGGCGCGCAGGCTTTCGGCGGCTTTGATTTATCCTCTTCCTCTGCGGGCCTGCTCGATCGCGTTCACTCGCACCAGCTGATCTTGCCAACGATACAAGCGGTTTTTGCTTTAGTCTGACCTGCACCCTGAACTTGGCACTCACGGGACTTCGCGAGGTCGCGGAAGGTTACGTCTACGATGTCACTTTCACGTTTCAATTTATTTGGGTTCTTTCAGTGTTTTGTGGAAGTTTCTTTGGGACTTGAAATTTGGGCACTAGTAATTGGTTCTTTTGTTCTTGTAAGTGACTTTGAGTGACGTTTGAATTTATTTGGGTTCTTTCAGTGTTTTGTGCTGATTTTGTGGGAGTTTCTTTGGGATTTGAAATTTGGGCACTAGTAATTGGTTCTTTTGTTCTCGTAAGTGACTTTGAGTGATATTTAAACTTTTTAGTTGGATTTTTTGATTATTTTGTATTGCTTTTACGAAAGTTTCTTTAGGGTTTCAAATTTGGATACTATAAACAATATTTTAATCGTTCCTTTTATTTTTGTAAATGACTTTCAGTGACGTTTAAATTTATTTGGGTTCTTTGAGGGTTTTGTGGTGACTTTATGGAAGTTTCTTTGGGCTCTCAAATTTGGATACTATAAACAGTATTTTAATTGTTCTTTTTTATTTTCGTAAGTGACTTTGAGTGACATTTGAACCTTTTACTTAGATTTTTTGATTATTTCATATTGCATTTCCAAAAGTTTCTTTGCTTTTAAAATTTGGACACCACAAACAATATTTTAATCTTAAATTTTTTTATTTCACATTGCTTTTCCCAAAGATTCTTTGGACTTTCAAATCTGTGCCCTACAAATCGTTCCTTTAACTCTCATAAGTGACTCAGGCTGACATAACTTAAATTTCTTCAAGTCACCTTAGAAATCCCGCGAGTGCCAGGTACAAGAAACAATCTAAAATATAGTACCTTTGGAAGGTTGTCTTCGCTTAGCGTGCGATCTCACAGTAGCACAAACGCGGCCTCGAGCAGTCGGTCTTCCACTTCACTGTATCTTCCGTGTAGACTTTTCCGAAGCCGACGACGACGACGAAGACGACGACGACGACGAACCGTAAAACTCGCGTAACCGTAGAACAAAGGTAAGAACTGCGTGAATCTATCCGCGCTCGCCTAGACTTCGTTGTCGCGTATCGAACACCGTGTAAAAACCGCGCTGGTCTGCTCGCGATGTTAAACTATTCTTAGACCGCGCGAGATACCGGGCGGTTATCGGCTGCTGCTCTTTATCGCGCGTTATCGATGGGAGCGGTTAGTCGCTACAGAGAGACAGTGCAGCTTAGTTTGCCGAGTTAGCGGTTAGCTGGACAGCAAGATAGTGAGAGAGAGAGAGAGAAAGTAGCTGCTGGCGTGTCTCCCAGAATTCTTCGTTCCTCCGTTGACGTCGAGGTCGCAAAGCGAGCAAGGGCAGCGGCTGCAGCCGAAGAGGAGCGTTTCCGGAGCGGGTTCTCGCCGAGTCAAAGCGAAAGGCGGTCTATCGGCAGCAGTTAGGCTCTGGCTTCCTTTCCTCCGATGCTCTTCGATCTTGATCCTCTAGCGTAGCAACCGGAGCGCTGGCAAAGCTTGAAGCCTTCGAAGCTAAACGTCGACGGGAGCGTGTAGTGTGGTGTGTAGTGTCGTGTGCTCTCTAGCTGTTCTCCGATCTATGTCCGGTCGTTGGAGAGACTTATCTAGCGTGTAAGTATAGATGTCGAAAGCCGGTCGTGGTGTCCTCAAGCCGGTTCTCAAGCGTGTTCTCGTGTGTCTACGGGAAGTGGAGAACGGTCTATGGGGGAGGTAGGTGGCGGCGGTGGGCCG